AATTAGCACATTATTAGGAAAGGCGATTTGCAAAGATTCATTAAAAAAACCTTATACTCACTTCTGTAGGTGAGGCTGGATCACGAATGATTCGCACGAACATAGACGGCGTATTTATATGTAGATCGGGGCGCATTCCCTTCAGAAACAAACGTAATCCACTGTGTCTTCAGTGGCTCAGATGTCGGGAGTAAATGATGACTGCTATGTTCATTATTACATCCAACAACAGAACACCTCAATCGCTTAGGAGTCATTCTTGTCTACATCTGCTCCGGCGGTGAAACAATGGTGGACTGATGACAGCTCACTCAGGGCGGGTCTGTGCTGAAACGCTACTGTCAATCAAACTATCGTGGGAGGGGCCTTCGTCCGTGTGACGTCACACAGACAGGCATCTGAGATCGGCTCGATTTGAGAAATGATTTTGATCGAGAAATTTCGATCTCAGAAATTTGAGAGGCCTGGAAATGATTTTAGTAGATAAAAAGTGTGGATTTTTATCATTATAGGGTGGTTGTGTACACACACTGCCAACACACATTTCAGTTCAAACAACTTGTAAAAGTGCATGTAGCATCCGATGACCCCTTTAAAGGACCCGCCCAATAAAAAAAGGTCATTTTACACAGAGGGTCAGAATGAGGGTTGAAAATTATCGCTTTTCCACATACTTATTTATTTTTTTGTGCAAAATACTTTATTAACATTATACGTAAACCTCAAGGAACATATTAAAATAATAAAACAATCCATGTCATGACCCCTTCAAAACAAAATTCAGGAAAAAATAAAGCAGATTTCACAGGGCCAGCTCACTGGGGTTGGAAGCACTCACCAGGCCTGGCAGACGGCTGGCGAGCCCGAAGGCCTGACTGATGGAGCCCAGGGCCGCTGCACCAGCTGGATGTCCAGAGACGGCTGCGCTCAGTAAACTGTGCATGTCTGCACCCACCGCATAATGACTCAACACTTGCAGCGCTTCACCCAGACGGTCATCCATCTTACTCTGCAAAAAAAACACACATCACTCAAGCTGCCAAAGTTCATCAAATGCACAACGAGACAGTTTGCAACCAGTATTGGGCAGCAACTAGTTACTAGTAACTTAGTTACTGTAATAAGATTACTTTTTGCATTAACTAATAGTGTAACTAATTACTAATAAGATTTCAGTAATAATTTTACAGTTACCATCCATAAAACAGCTTAGTTACTTAGGTACTTTAGATCAGGGGTTTTCAGCCTTTTAGGACATGCGCGGTCACCTAGTTGGA